TTTTGACTTTCAAGTACAGTACAGTATGTTGTCGTGGTAAACTTCAGGTCTCATTCACACTTTGTCCTCACGAAATCACATAATTTTCCCCTTAAATAACTCATACCTCTCCTAACCCAACATTCATCTCAAAAGTGTAGCTGTGCACTTTTTTTCCTTGCATGCATAAATTGCATTTTTTATTAATCTTTTATCTTTTCCTGATGTAATGGAAGAGCCCTTTATGAGAGCAGTATATGCTTGATATGGGAACTCTAAGACATATTTTAGGGAGTTACTCCAGAAGAACTATAATTCAGTACAGTATACACTTCACTGTTACAGAGAGCTCCAACATTTGCCACTTTCACTTAAACTGGCATAAAGGAGCAGCAAAACAGCAATGAAATGGACAGACAGCCATTCACTTGCCAGCAAAGATGGAAAGAGGGTCAACCATTAAAGTCCACCACTTCTGATGGCAAGGTACAACAAGGATACCAGGCTTGCTAGATGTGTCCTAACACTAGTCCCATAAGGTATATATTCAACACTGTCCTGTCAAAGATCTTCACAGTTCAATCTACAAACCTTAAGAGATAAACAGCCACATTCATATTAAGGTACAGATACATGACTAAAAAAAATTCCATGACTGTGAAAAATTATTATGTCCTTTTGTACTGTGCTTGTATCTACATAAGACCTCCCTAAGTCGGACTATGGTCTAGGGGTCTGCCATCACTCGCCCTACACCTCAGAGTCAGAATTAGTGGTAACCCCCCCCCCCAATCTGCCACCTCACATCCTTGATTCTGACCGTGATTAAACCAAGAAATAAATGCTAGTTTTAAGTGTAACTGCAAAGATAAATGTAAGTGAAACTAAATAGTATAAGTGAGACTACAGTAAAGTAAAGCTTAAGCAGCCCTCCTTTGTCCTCCAACTCAAGATTCATCTGCTACAGTGTAAGTAGTGTACACTGTAAATAAGTATTGTTAGCTTTAATATTGTTTTTGAATGAGATCTTTCAACAAAATGGAGGTCAAAATTACCTGGAGGTGGGGTCTACATAAGTCAGACAAGCCCGAGCCCCATATAGTCCAACTTGAGGAGGTCTTACTAACAATAACTTGTGCTAAGAGAAAGTACTGATAAGGTGTGTATGTTATTATCAAATTTCCTTCATTTCCAGACCACATTGTGAATAAATTAAAAAATTAAGCAGTGATTTATTGAATCAACTACAATGTGGGAGATTTAAATATTTTAGTATTAACTGCATAGCGAGTTACTTTTATGGAGAATATGAGGATCATAATTATGTTATATATGGAGCTGAGGTACTTGTTTATAGAAGATCTTAACTGTTTAATGATTAAACTGCCAAATAAATGTATCCACCATCATGTAAGGTAAGTTTTACTCATACCTTCTTCTGACTACAAATTCATAACACAGTTACACACTGCTTTACCGAGGTAAATCATTATCTTTTTGGAGGAAAATATGGAGGTTACCAAAGTATATTAGAGTGTAAAGAATACAGGAGATCAATACAGTATGGTGATATCCCCGTTAGCCGGAACAATTGGTGTAGAGCACTTCCGGGAATGAGAGATTTCCAGGTAACGAGACGACTCTCTCAGAGCCGGAAAAAAGCTCCCCATCCCCAGAATTTTCCGAAAAGTTCCGGGTAACAAAAAATTGTTTTTGAAATTTCCAGAAAATGCGCCCGATTTTCATCTCTCAAACCCGGAAAAAAGCTCCCCATCCCCAGAATTTTACGGGTATCGGGAAAATTTTATCGGAATTTTCAGGAAAATGTGCCCCTCGGAAAACGGCTTTGGGAATGATTTTCCGAGAAAATTTAAATTCCGGCTATTGAAGAATTCCGGGTTTGAGGGATTCCGGCTAACGGAGATGTTACTGCTGTATTAGTATTTTAACTTTCAAAAATATTTGCGAGCAGGAGGTAACCCCTCCCCTGTTACACCCATCCATCTTTGATGATTGCACTACACCATGAAAGATTTCCTCATCAAATAAAACCCTGGACCTGCCAAAACTATTGAATGATTTAAGTGTCAGTTGAGTAAGAGCAATTGCCTTTGTGTGCTTGCAGAGACTTGCCTGAATGCCTCAGAAGGAGACCTGAATGGAGGCTGACCTCCCCAAGGGTCCAGCTCCCTACATTGGGTCAGTAACATCTTCACCGATGAATCACTACTTCCTTGAAAATTCATATTTGCTATTCCCCTTTTCTCATCTTAGTAAAATAAACCATTTACTATGAAAGGGTAACAGTATCTAAAACTCAGATATACATTAGTGAACAATACAACTTTGGAAAGGTTGTTATAAGCTTAAGTAATTGAGATGGTCATGCAGTAAGACGTTATATCTATTTCAGTTATGTGTCTTATGATTAAAGGTATATTAGGGGTAACTTCTACATTATTAACACTAAAGTACAGCATAAATATCCTGGGAATAATTATCACTTTGGAAGGCAACATTTACTGCACTGACATATTACTATAATCAAAGTAATTTAAGCCCTAGTCTATGCACAGCTGAACAATACAGGAGTTACTGTTGAGAAGAAACTGCTACACAAAATGGATAATGTTAAGCAAGTAACTACAATGGCAATGTTGTCATGGTGATTGTTCTCGGTCAATGTAAAGATTATAAGATTAGTGGTCAAAGGTTTACTGGTGCTTGGGGTCAGCATTATCAGTGGTACAGCACAGTAGTAATAAAATAAAGGATGTGGTGGTGATGTTTCCGGTTAATGGTAAATACTATAGCTTTGTTTTATGAGGTGAAGCTGTGGTTATTCGTTTGGTGTCACAGTATTTCAAAGATTACTCATGAAAGTAGTTGTGGTGATAGTTGTTTGTGTTGGAAATAACATCTGTGGTTATGATGTTTTAGGGAATGGGTGGTTCTAAGAATAATAAACAGCCCAGCAGTGTTGGTAGAATAGCTGTGGGAGGGTTAGAAAGCTGCACAACAGGTATATAGGTGAATAATAAGGGTGAGCAAAGCAATGATAGCAGTGTTGGTAATAACAATGATGATTGAAGAGGCAGTAGTAAGAGTGATGACTACGTTACTTAAAACAGTAAGTGTACAAAGACAGTAGTAATAGTTTGTTATGACAGTTAAGGGTACAGAGGAAGTGGTGATGCGACAGGTAATTGTGGTGCCGGTCGGAGAAAAATGTGGAGAATTGAACAGATCAAAATCACTGTTGCGGTATCAGTGACCGTGGTTGTCGTACAGTCATTTTAATGATGGTGAAAGTCACTGTGATGATTGAGGCAGTGCTGGAGGTAGTCATATAAATGATACTGACAGTGATTAGAGTGGTAACAGCTGTGGTTACTGTACTCAAAAGATCTGTATCTCAAATATATACAAAATATTATACTGTATAGTTTATTGTGTAACATATGATAAAAAAAAGCATGACCATCTATACGATAAGAGTCAACTCAGGTGTCACTGGCAGACAGAAATAGGAACAACAAGTGAATATGGACACTGACTCTACAGGAACACCTGTTTTAGTGACAATACAAACACCGACCATCATTACACAAAACAAAGACTGAAATTGAAAGAGCAGATGAACCAACATCCTACAGATACATTATTTATAACCATTATGGATTACAGTAATGCTTTACCATTGTCTACAGTACAGTATATGAAAATTTATTACTGTTAACTTATTTTTATTATGAATCTAAAAATTATTACTGTACAGTGTATATATATATATATATATATATATATATATATATATATATATATATATATATATATATATATATATATATATATATATATATATATATATATATATATATATATATATATATATATATATATATATATATATATATATATATATATATATATATATACAGTAGTGTATAAGAAATGCAGAACTCCCCCAAAACATGTGACTAATGGCTTTTACTGTACAGGTACTGTAAATGCAACTGACTCAGGTAACCTGAGGGAGCAGACCTTGTGGAAACAGGTACAGTAGGATTGGTAGATGTTAGTACAGTACTGTATGACAGAAAGAAGAACTTTAAGTAGGTATCAGCCAAGCACCTAGACAAGTGCCTGGTCCTTCTGAAACCTTGCAACAGTAATGGTAAAATGGTATAGTGAGAATCTCATCTGTAAACTTTAACTTTAATGAAGTCTTCAGTGTTTATACTATGCTGTTTTAAGTGACTGTTTGTTTATACTATACAGTACTATGCTGATATAAGAGAAGGTTATCATTCAGATCACTTCATCAGTACGATTATAGTAAATGCCTCTCCATTAAAGCTGGGATGACCTATGAATGTTTCCAGTCATGTGTTGCAGCCACAGGGCAAGTTGATTGGTAATTAGGGATGGAAGTAGAGCAATCCTGGGTTCCCTGTTCAATGTACAGTATGTATACAACATGTGCCATTTTGAAATGGAGCATGACTACATGGACATAAGAGACAGCAAGGGTGGGGTGGGCATGTTAATGTGGAGAGCCTGGGAATGCTAGATAGCTTGGGTATAATGCTGCATGTGTCCCAAATACTGGGAAGCAAAATGGCAAACCATTCACTAAGTCTGATATTGTTAATATAAATAACATGATTTCCCACCTATTGGAAGGCCCATATTTTGAAACATCCTTTTGTATAGAACAAAAAACATAGACTACCTCTTGGCATGGAAACAAGTGAAGTTGGCTGACAACCAATTGGTTGACCAGCTCAACATGGATCAGAAGGATTCTGTGTTGAAGTAGATCACACTATTTAGTGATATGAGAGGAAACCATTCCTCTTCATCCATTAAATAAATTTGATTACAAGTTCCCTCTTGTTCTGTTAGGGTATAGGATCTTCAGATGACTGAAATGCTTACCAGTAAGTCAAATTCAGAGTGGTGTTTCATGATATGGGCCAAAGGTTGTTAGTGAAAGGCTACAGAAGAGGTTGGCTCACCTGCAGGGCGGCTGGAGACTCGTTGATAACATCCGCAGCCTCTTTGAGGGCTCTAGAGGCACGCTGTTCACCCTCTGCAGCGATCACCTTGGCTCGAGCTTCTCGTGCAGCCTCGGCTTCTGCAGCCATAGCACGTTGCAGTTGCACTGGCAGTCGGACATCCTTGCTGTAAAAACACAGGAATTATAATACATGATAATACTTTATCAGGGCAACAAGTTATATGAACTCAAATACAAGGAAATTCTAAGTAAAGGTGGCAAGATTACAAGGTACAGTGTAATATGTTACAAGATATTACTGTACTGTACAAAGCTAGTGCAGTAGGATTCATAATACAGTACTGTACTGCATAATGGTTACAAGCCAAGATTCAAGGGCAAGAATGTGAGTTACAAGCTAAGAAAAGAACAAGACAAAATTGCCACAATGTTTACGGAGTCAGTGCAAGATGCCAGGCCATGAACGGCACTCTGATCATCCGCCACCACAGCTTGGAAGGCTTGTGTGGATTTTTGGAAAACATTAAAAGATGTACCTGTAGTAAGTTAATTATCTGCAGAAACTGACACATATACCAGAGTAATGACAGTGGCAGGGCCTCAAGGGTCAAGCACAGTACAGCACACATGCCAGATGTTTGGTTCTATACCAAATATATTGGCTGTTGTTGTTGTACTAAGAAGAAAAACTTTTGAAAAAGATGATGGGTGCCTTGATGATGAACAGAAATAAAGTCACAGGAAAAAAAAATATCATATTTCATGTAAATACCACTGACAGTATTAGAATAGGCAGCTTTGGATTGAGCTACATTAGGTTATGTTAGCTTGGGTTATGTTAGCTTGGGTTATGTTAGATTGGGTTGGGTTAGGTTTTGAATGTTTTCTTTGGTCATATTATAATAAAATGTCTTTTCTGTGTTACTTTTTTTCCTGTGAATTTTTTTTTTCAACGACTTTTTGTCCTGTTGCCCAGGTCACTCAGCCACCCAAAGAAAAGTATTCATAGAAGAAAACTTATTTCTTACCACACGAAAAATCTAATTAAGTAGAGTAATATCACTCTTCCTATTCAGGCTTTTGTCCCAATTTTTTCTTTTTCTCAAGAAATACACAACTGATGTTGGTTTGTGTGATACTGGTGCCATTTTAGTTTAAGTAAGCATCAGGATGTATCACTATCATCAACAGAAACAATAAAGAGCAGCAACTTTACTAAATTTCTCTATAGACATTATAAAAACCCGTCTCATTGTTGACTGTCATATTGTATAAATGTGGGTTAATTACAAATGTCTTGTATAACTCCATCACCCACGGTAACTTTCCATGGGCAATGACATGTCCTGCAGTGATCATGTGGTCCATTCACTGAACACCTGATCGGTAACTTTCCACTGGAGGGTGCGTCTGTAAAGAAGCTGTCTAAGCTTTCTTCAGAGCCGCTCCTCCCTCAGTGTTATTTAACACTCACGAGAGAAGGACGTCGAACTAAGCTTCACAGATAAGCTCCGTACCTTCCTCTCAGAGTCTTCACTCGACCCTCACGAGAAACAGACGTGTTGATAACCAAGCTTCTCAGACATGCTTGCTGTCTAGATCTAACATCCAGAGCTAAATTGAGATAGTTACGGTGATATCCTTTTTGAAAGTGTACTAAGAAACTCTTCATAATAAACAAACAAAAGGAACCTATTGGATTTCACTACAGAAAATCCATCAATCTTTTATCTATATTTTAGTTCGTCTAGAATATAAGGTAACGACTTGTAGTGGACGTCTCCCCTACAACTGCGTAGCCGCATTCCACCTGCTACGTCTTCCCTAGCAACCAAACGAGCGGCCCAGGGGGGGGGGGGACGTCACCAGATGCCACAGTATCCTAGCAACCAGCCACCAGTTGCTACCGTTCCCTAGCAACGGAGTCAAAAGACCGGCGACTTCCCACGGTCTACTTCCGGCGGCTGTGTATATAAGCTCTGTCTCTCCATTAAGATTCATTCTGGCCTCTCTTCTTGAACACGCAACACCTCCTCCTCCGCCGCTGCCTGGCGGCCCTCGCTCCCGCCGGCGAGCATGGCGACCCACCAGACTGTCTACCATATAACTTGTATTATATAAGAAAACCACCACCTTAGAGTTTCCATCCATCCTGAGTGCTAGACAACATAATATCACGAAACCCTACAGACTTCTCAAGTGGCTGTTACGAGTGTGATCACCCAGGAAGGTTACTTTTACTTACTTTTATCCTCTTCACCACTGATTGGCTCGTTAACTGCTTGGGCGATCGGTCACGTTTCTGATTACTTTTCCTTTTCTTCTATCCTCTTCACCAAATGATCGGCTCATTAGCCGCTTGGGTGATCGGTCATGTCTCTGTTACGCACTGTTGGCAAGTACTGGGCATGCACCGGCTCCTGAATGTACCTGAACCTGCTCCAGTGTTGGTCAAGTCTTGTCTTGAAAGATCTCACACTCGGTGCCGTCACAACTCTTTCTGGTAGATTGTTCCAAGAGTTCACAACTCTCACTCCAAAAAAGTTTGCCCTCACAGTTTTCTGGACTTGCGGCTTCTTCAATCTTGAGCTGTGACCCCTTGTGGGGCGAGTGTCCGCCAGCTCCAAGACAGGACACTCGACTGAGTATTGCTCCTTGAGATGCTTATACACCTCAATTAGGTCATCCCTTGCCCGTCTGTAGTATAAGCTAGGCAAGTTCAGGCGCTCCAATCTCTCAGGGTAGCTGAGGTGCCGAAGTGCAGGCACCAGACTGGTGGCCCTCCTTTTAACATTTTCAACCAACTGACAGTCCCTAGCGTATCTCGGGGACCAGACGGGGTGACAGTACTGTACTCCAGATGGGGAAGCACTTCACTCTTGAAGACCGTCTAGATATCTGAACGACCTTCTTATAAGACCCAATAATTTATTTGCCTGGTTTACCTTCTTCTCGCAATGGCCCGAGAACTTCAGCTCATTGTCAACATACACACCTAGGTCCTTCTCACATTCAGTCTCAAATAGTGCAGTTTCTTCATCCCGTTAGGACATATGATACGCCTCCTTACCGTTGGTATGCCCCAGGTGCATCCTCTTACACTTCATGACATTGAATCTCAGCAGCCATTTCTTCGACTATTCTTAGAGCCCATAGAGGTCCTTCTGCAGCTCTTCACAGTCCGCTTGGTTCTTGATTTCCCGAAATAACTTGGCGTCATCGGCAAACATTTGTATGGAGGAGTGTGCAACGTCAGGCATGTCATTTATGAAACAAACAAACAACAGCGGGCCCAATACACTGCCCTGTGGTACCCAGCTTGTGACAGGTACGGTATGATGATTTCGTGCCATTGATCACCACACACTGCTTGCGGTCAGGTAGAAAGTCTTCTATCCATGCTAGGACATTTCCCCAAATTCCGTATCCTTCCAGTTTGATTTTCAGCCTTTCGTTGGTTATACTGTCGAAAGCCTTGGCAAAATCTAGGTAAATATTGTCGATATTACCACCCCGTTCCAGAAAATGGGTCCAAATATCCAATACCTTGAGCAATTGTGTTAAACAGGAGCGCCCCGGCGTAAAACCGTGTTGGCAATCCTTTGCAAGGATGTTTCGAAGTAGATGTTTCATCGTGGCATCTCTGATAATACTCTCAAGTACTTTACATATTATGCTGGTCAGGCTCACTGGTCTATAGTTGTTCGTGGAGTGACGATCACCCTTCTTGAAGATAGGACTCACAAAAGCCATTTTCCATTCACTGGGGACCTTTTGTTCATCCAGGCATTTACAAAACAGGATCTTCAGGGGCTCGGCAAGCTCGTTGCACAACTCTCTTAGCACTTTAGGATGCACCATGTCAGGACCGGGTCTCTTATGGACCTTTAGGTTTGACAGTTTATTTCTAATACCCTCTTCTGTGAACACATGTGGGTCAGTGCTGTGTCGAACCGTCTGTCCTCAAACGCAGGAAGGTTAATCGCATCCCATCTTGTGAACACCGAGGAAAAGAAGCTGTTCAATGCCTAAGCTTTATCCTGGTCAGAATCTGCGTAACTACCATCTTCAAGCCTCAGGTCTGATACTCCTACTCGCGTTTTTAATTTCGACTTTGCATAGCGGTAAGACGCCTTTGGGTTTGACTTGACCTCGCTTGCAACCAGCCTCTGGAACTCCTTTTCAGCCCTTCTACATTCTACTTTTGCTTGATTTCTGGCTCTTGCATACATCATCCTGTCCTGCTCATCATTTGACCCAACCCACGTCTTGAATTTCTGGGTTTTCTTGTGCCTTAATGAGTCAGGCCAGTGGATACCGCTCATCTCTTCCCTCATCCCATCCCATTGTAATTTCCCTTGTAATATTTGCACCTTGGCCTGGCCTTATCTTGAACTAAGTAACAGTTAAATCTGAATGACAACACTATATGGTGACTGGTGCCAACTGGGGCAAGGTGTTCCAGTTTGGCCACCATACCCCGGTCCGACTAATTACCCAAATGTACCCAAATGTACCCAAATGTAGCCGCAATGAAGTCAAATGATGGTCGTACAAGCGTAATTCGGGCTGTGCTTCTCGATTATTATTTGGTGTCATAAAGTAAAAAAAAATTGGTAAACTTAATTTAATCTGAGTTGGGTTAGGTTAGATTAGATTAGGTTAGGTTAGGTACATGCACTTGATCTATTAATTCAGATTAAATTAAGTTTACCAATTTTTTGTGACTTCGTGACACCAAATACTAGTCGAGGTTAGGTTAGGTTAGGTTAGGTTAGATACATGCACTTGATCTATTAACTCAGATTAAATTAAGTTTACCAATTTTTTGTGACTTTGTGACACCAAATACTAGTCGAGAAGTGATTAGCAGTCTGATTTATTCATCTAGGACCATTATTTTACTTCATTCCGGCTATATTTGGGTACATTTGGGTAATTAGTCGGACCCCCATACCCTCCTCGTTTGTTATGATGAGGTTGTAGTGGACGTCTCCCCTACAACTGCGTATCCGCATTCCAATGCGACAGTATCCTAGCAACCAAACGAGCGGCCCAGGGGGGGGCGTCACCAGATGCCACAGTATCCTAGCAACCAGCCACCTACTACGTCTTCCCTAGCAACGGAGTCGAGAAACCGGCGAGTTCCCACGGGTTTACTTCC